TATATTGCCAAAATCTACATCTTCCAAAATACATATATTGCAGTCATTAGTCTGAAAATCCTGGGCAACACTACAGATTTAGAAAAGAAACGTTATTTACAGGTTTATCTTCAAACCTGTGTGTGTTGCGGTGATGACGGTTTGGTCACTTAAACTGGAAAGTCAATGAATTCTTTCAGGATTATTTACTTATTCAAACAGCCACCATTGATTGATTGTATATCCTAAAAAAGAAAATCGTGCATCTTTAAGACCAGCGTATGTAAATGAGCTCTGTTCTGATTGTGAAGAAGTCCAGCATGACTGCTGTACACTGACCTTGCAACAGCACTGCTGTGTCTGATTCACTCGTACCAGCACAACGCACACTAACACACCACCACCACGTCAGTGTTACTGCAGTGCTGAGAATGACCCACCACCCAAATAGTACCTGCTCTGTGAGGGTCCATGGGGGTCCTGACCAATGAGAACAGGGTAAAAGGGGGCTAACAAAGTATCAGAGAAACAGATGGACTACAGTCTGTAACTGTAGAACTACAAAGTGCACCTATATAGTAAGTGGAGCTGATAAAATGGACAATGAGCGTAGAAACAAGGAGGTGGTCAGACTGTTGTGCTTGACCGGTGTTTGTGGAACCTAAACTGACTCATTAACCGACTCATTGAATGGCAGTGCTCTTATATCTGATCCTCTGGTTGCTGTAGCTCAGAGTGATGTTTGTCTGCACTGCTACGGGTTTTTAGCAGCTCCTGTTTAATGTTTTACGTGCGCTGAGAGCTCAGGCTGTGTGTGGCACTGCTGGTCCTCACGTGGCCTACATCGCACGCAGATGTTGTTTGTCCTGTTTTAAATGTTAAATAGCTGAGAAATGTAAACATTACACTGTCTGGAACTGGAGTGGTGATGACACAGTGCAGCACAGTGTGACAGGAAGTAGTGAGTTTATTTTAGATTTTAATACCCAGGACTGTTTTTTATTTTCCCCACATTCTGACCCTCATGGTTTCTGTTCTTAATGGACTGTATGTAGAGGTGGGCAATGTGATGATATTTTATCGTTAGTGTGATAAATTTTATTATCTTGATGCATAAAGTGCTTTCTGAGCATAGTGTTGTCAGTCAAAGGGGAATTCCACCAATGTTTCAAAATTTCCACTCTTTTCTTCTCGCACTGACTGCACAGACAGCGATGCACTACGCAGAGATTAAATTAGCACCAAAGCTTTAAGACTGTTATATTTAATCTGATTTGTGGTAGGAACCAGGTGGGAAGGTGTCTGATTTGTCATTTTGTACTGTCAGGGCATTTACTTTGCATCAGTGAAATTTTGGAAACCGATGGTCAGCTCAAGTTCAGAGACCCAAGAGGTGATGAGTGATGAACAATTTGGGCAACAAGAGGCAAAAAGTCGCTGCTGGTGTGAACGCAGAGTTATACGTTCCTCACACACACCTTTCCACCATTTCTTACTCCAGTAATTCTGACCTATTTGCTGCCACAGACGTTCTCACTGCAGGCTTCTGAGGAGCTCGGTTTTCATTCAGAGACGATCGTGGTTGGCTGGGATTGGTTGATGATGATGATGATGATGATGAGCTCTTTTCATGCTGGTTTCAGCTCAGAGTTCTTTACAGACGGTAATAAAGCTTAACAGTAAAAGCAATGCTATTGCGCAGTGTTGCCTCAGGGCAACAAACTCATTTTCCTCACTTTACAATAAAGTTATACATCTTGAAAGACAATGATAGCATTAACAATAAAGGGGAGAGTTTGAGTACGTCAATACAGAGCATGTGCTTGGTCATAGTATCTCTCATCGGGCACATTTTAACCTCTTTTTTAACGTTCAGTATCAGTTCTTTTTGTTATGAGAATTTGCAGAAATGTGTTTGTTGCCTAGAGGCAACACTGCATGACAGTGGAATGGATTTAGCCAGTCACGAGCCAGGTCTCACCACTTCAGGGAACACAGCTCTATATAATTTCTTCTCACTGCTGCACAATGTTGCCTCAAGGCAACATACTCCAAAAGGACCCCTGCACACATTTATTTTTTGTTCAAATGTTTTTGAATTTAATACCTTTAGTTTTTTTGAGCATTTTTGAGGGTGCACAGCTACACAGAATCATGTGTAGAGTTGAGCAGAGCTGCATGTTCTTCACCAGAGTGAAACATTAATGCTCATTCTGCCAGCATACATGCTAATAACATTAGCATTAGCTACACAACTGACAAATAAACAAACATTACTCAGCGCCGCTCGAGAAACGTGTTAAAGCACCAAGTTAGAACTTTTTATTTCATGATGTCTTAATGAATGTTTTTACTCATAGAGATAGAGGTGTTTCTGTTGGTTCCTGATGGTTTTGTGTTTTGTCTTTTTTTTAATGGGTTGATATCACAGTGTAACGGACAGGTGACCAGCAGCTGGTTCTAAATGCATGTGATGGTTTCCTAATGGGATCTACAGGTGTCCTAGGAAAGCAGTGTTCTCCAGTGGTAACTATTATGCCAATTCCCATTAGAAAGCAAAGCCATAATCCTAATGGTTGTAATGGTCTTTGTCAGCAGTGATGTAAAGGGAATAGTAAAAAATGTCAAACTTCAGTTCTAAGCATATTCATGCATCCCTGTTTGAAAAAAAGACCATTAGATTAGGTTTAAAACCTGATGGTTTTGCTTTCTAATGTGAATTGGCTTAATGATTACAATTATAGACCACTAGTCTCCTGTAGGGCACCTTTAGATCCCATTATGAAACCATCAAATGCATCTGGAATCAGAACATATGTTACACAATTGGAGGCCTTTACACTGTGATATCAAGCCATCAGGAACACACTAAAGACCATCAGAGACTACTAGACACCAGCAGGAACCAGCAGAACCTTTTAATGGTTTCGGTTACTAAGCAGAGTCAGAGGCAGCAACAGGTACAGCTGGATGTCACAGATTCGGGGCTGTTTTTGTTGGTTTGTGATGACATTTTGATGATAGGATACAAATTTCTTTGATGACGCACTGCAGCGTGTCGGCGGGATGCTGCGTCTGAGCTTCCCAGCAGTCGAGAACAAGAAAAATTCCATTTAGTTCACTGGGGGAAGCTTCCCGAACCTCCCGAGATCCTGCATTCCTCCGCTGAGCGCTAACAGCGCGGCTCCAGCCTGTCATCACGCCGCAGTCGCGGCTCTGTAATAAGACATTACTTTGATATTTCGCTCTTAGATCGCTTGATTAGAGCCTTTGTGTGCAAAGCAGCTTGTGTGGTGAGAATTAGCCCTTCAGACGGAGCAGCGCAGCTTTAAATGGAGCTTTTTCAGGCCTCATAGCGTCACTTCTTTTTTCAACGGGGATAATACACATTAATCATCTTTGTTTCTTAAAGTAAGTGTGCCACATTTAGCTAAATGGGGCATTTTTGTCTACGGGTTGATGTTAATGTTAAATGTAAACAACACTTCTCACAAAGGCAGGAACAGACATCACAGGGAAGCATTAAAAAGCGCTTAATTACAAAATGTATTAAACTAAACCCATAAAACGTAAACACACAGAACAAGTAAACATTTTTTGCAAGTATACAAAGCATGTAGTATAATTAAATGTTTAGTGGTGCAGTGCTTTTTGAAAGAGTGCAAGTGACCTGTGGTGTCCCCCAGGGTTCAATTCTTGAGCCACTATTATTTAATTGATACATGCTGCCTTTTGGCCAGATGCTACAAGACTATGGGATATCTAACCACAGCTATGCGGATGATACTCAGACCTACTCTCCCCAAACAACTATGGTCCTCTTGACTCACTCTGAAAGAGCCTTGAGCTCATCACTGACTGGATGGAACAAAACTTTCTGCAGTCGAATAAAAATAAAACAGAGATTATTTTATTTGGGAATAGCAATGAGAGGCTCTGACTAGCTTCCTGTCCGGATTCAAGAGCCCTTAAATCTAAAGGACTTGTACGTAACCTTGGTGCAGCCTTGGTGATCTCAGTTTTATCAGTCGTGTCAAAGCAGTTACTAAATCAGCTTTTTATCAGGTTAAGAACATCAACAAGATCAGAGATGTTCTGACTAAAGCAGTCCTGGAGAAACTCGTCCCATTTCAGGATTGATCACGATTATGAAAAGCAGACAATCGAGATAAAATGATTATTCCATTTTGCAACGATGCTCTCATTTTGTGTTGTGTTATGAACCCAGTGCACCCCTTTCCTTTACAGCAGCCCTCCCTAAAAGCCCAAACTCAGCACATTTATTTTAGTCTAATTTATTTTTATTTATCATTTTAAATGTGTTTACTAGTTGTCAGGAGGTCGGGGAAGTGCACGACACCATAGTTGATTGCATTTAAAATAATAAAGACAAAAAAATCTGCTGTTTTAAAAGTTCAGTAAATGCATGATGTTACTAAATCCGTGAGTAATTGTGTTAAATAATCGTGATCTCAATATTGTCCAAAATAATCGTGATTATGATTTTTGCCTTAATTGAGCAGACCTAACTTGAACGCAGTCAGTTTCACTCACTCATACATACAGTGTGCAAAACTTCATAAATATTAATTCAGCCCTCGTTGATCTGATACCCAAATTTATCCTTGATATATTACCATATCATGGCATCCACCACAGCTCTAAACTCATGATCCATCATAAAAAGAAACTGTGTCGTGTTCTGCTGTGTTCAAGGAGTCAGTTCATTCAGGCTTTTGTTCAATTCCAAAAAACTTGTCACAGCTGAATAGCCTCACATTCACTGTTGACCATTATCTTTAGTGTTGGGTTTTCCTGAAGACGTTTTGTTTAATTTAACAGGAGTGGTTTGTTCCACTTCTTGGCCGACAGATTTCTAAATGGCCTCTTTGTTTAGGATGAAGATAAGGGAGTCATCAGCCTCCTCTGTAACATCTGTCTTTAGTCACATGAGAACTGTTCATGTTGTACTTTCATTTGCTGAATGCTCATGGTTTTTTCCTTCTTTCTACCTTTTGCAGATTCCCGTTCTCTGGCCGTCATGCAGCTTTAGCTCGAGAGCTACGTCAGCAAAACCTTAACGTCCCGATGCCGTCTGTCCATCATTGACGGAGCTGCGCTTGAAGAAATGGACTTGGCCCCTCATGCTGGGTTACATCTTTGAGAACACAGCTCTGCTCTTCCCTGAGACTCAGATGGGTGACTTATGACAATGTAATTGATAGGGGGGCTTAAGTTCCGCAAGCAGCTGCAATCAGCTTGAGCCCTGGAGTAGACGACAAGACCAACCTGCTGCCTGCAGTCGCTGGAGGGCTCCAGGGCTCCTCTACAGTCATGCAGTCCTCAGAGGAGTTGTTCAACAGGAAACTGAAGGCCTTGAATGGCAGCATGGGGCCTCCAGCTGCTAGCATGCAGGGGAAGCCCGAGGGGGGCGGAAAAGCCAATGGCACACCTGCTGTGCCCAAAATGGGGGTGCGCGCCAGGGTGTCCGAATGGCCTCCAAAGAAGGAGAACTGGGAGAGCCGTGGTGGACCAAACTACGAAAGTGTTATTATGGCCTTTCAAAATGGGCAGCTGGACCAAAGCTTAGAAATCCCTGACGTGAACGAAGCACCTCTGGAACATGATTGTCCTGACACAAAGTATTCGCTGAATGACCTTTTGAGTCGCTCCCCTTTGAAGGGACTTCACCCAATCCGACAGCGGAGCAACAGCGACGTGACCATCAGCGATATCGATGCCGAGGACATCATGGACCAAAACGCCGTCAACCCGAACACTGGTGCCTCGCTGCATCGAGAATACGGCAGCACGTCCTCTATAGACCGGCAGGGTCTAGGCGGCGATGGGTTCTTCACGTTGTTGAAGGGTTACCGAGTGGACACGTTGGACCATCGGAGCGCTCCTCCATTCGGTTTCCCCGAGCTTCTACGCTGCGACACCGCTCTGTCACCTAGCTTGCAGACAGCTGCTCAGATAGCACGTGGAGAGATCGTCCGCATCTCGGGCTACGACTACGTGGATGCTTCCCTGTTCTACAGCCGTGAGAGGGAGAAGTCCTTCATGCGAAGGCTCAAGTCGGAATCGTCCGAAACGTCTCTCTTCCGGAAACTGAGAACTATCAAGAGTGAGCACGACGGCTTCCGGCTTTCCACGGAGCAGGAAGACCGCCGGCCTCTCGGTTTCCAGAAGTGTTTTGCTCACTATGACGTCCAGAGCATACTCTTTAACGTCAGTGAGGCCATGGCAAACCGGGCCAACCTCGGCCAGAGGAAGAACACCACCACCGGTGCCTCGGCTGCTTCGCAGTACCAGGTCCCAGGAGGCGGTGCCGTGAGTGGGAATGCTGCCGGCCCTCCTCCCATCTTTGAATCCCCGCTGGGCAGCCATGAAGACTTGAACCCTAAAGAGAACCTGGATGCTGACGAGGGTGACGGGAAGAGCAATGGGTTAGTGCTGAGTTGCCCACATTTCCGCAACGAGATTGGCGGCGAGGGCGAGAGGAGGATCTCTCTCTCGCGGGCCAATAGCGCCACCTACAGTGGAGGTGGAGAAAACTGTTCCTTTGAGTCCTCGTTAAGCTCACACTGCACTAACGCTGGCGTTTCCGTGCTGGAGGTACCGCGAGAAAACCAGCCCATCCACCGCGAAAAGGTCAAGAGATACATCATTGAGCACATCGACTTAGGAGCGTACTATTATCATAAATACTTCTATGGGAAAGGTAAGCTTCCGCTGGCACTTTACAAGCATTAACATCTGCCTTTAATCCTGAGCCCATCCAAAAAATGACTTTGAATCTAATCCTCCCCATTAATAATGTGGTTTATCTCTGCTGTCATCACTTTACTTAAGTGTTTCCCACAGATTTAAACTCTGGCGCTGAGGTGGGAGTCAGTCTGAAGCGTATTTAATGCCACAGTTTAAATAATTAGCATTTATTTACAGCGAATTCACTCAGTTTACAAATACACTGTTTTTCTTTCGCAAGACTATGTAGGTATTTCAATTAGACTCTTAAAAAAGGGTGCTTTAGTAAAGACATTGGTTCTACATAGAACCATGAACATTCTTTGCATGCTTAAACAGTTCTTTGCATGCTGAAATGGTTCTTCAGATTGATGGAAGATGTGTTGTATGTGGTTCCATATAGTACCAAGAAGGGTTCCGCTATTGTTACGATGTCAAGCTTGTAACAAGAGATTTTTGGTGCTATATAGAATCCTTTTCAAAAAGGTTTTACATAGAACCATACACAACACATTCTCCATCAATCTGAAGAACGATTTCACCATGCAAAGAACCGTTTGTGCATGCAGATGGTTCTTTGAGTGCTCATACTAAAGACCCCTTGAGGAACTGCCTTTTTAGGAGTGTAGGCTACGTTCAAATAGCTCTAAAACTAAGATTTGTTCTGTTTTAGTTGTGTCCTCGAGCGCGAGTGATGTTTATTTTCTTGTGAAACTGAATCGGATGTTTAATTTTGTTATTTTTAAAAGATTAATTACAGTTTTGTGGTTAAATTAAAAATGACTGTACACCACAACCACAGCTTTTACGGAACCTCACTGTTATTACTTTCTTTTATTTGATGAACGCTAAGTTTCGACCTCCACAGTATCGCTCTGCTCCTGCGTTAACTGAGTTAGGAACCGTGAGGGTCAGGATTAATTATCGGGAAAAAATGTTGTTTATTATTATTACTATTAGTAGTAGTAGTGCTATTAGTAGTAGTAGTGCTGGTGGCAGCATTTCTGTTCATTTTCCACTTTATCTCTCCATAGGAGTCACTGGTGTTACTGATCCTCATTGGTGTTCCACATAATAAAGGAACACCAGAGACATTTTTAATGAACAATGCATTTTACAGAATGTCTGCTACAGAACATCAAACCACATGTTGTCAATCATGGAAAATCCACTAAAATATGGAATTTAATCCATTTGTGTTCTATTTTTTCACAATTACCTCAGAATAAAGTCGGTCACACCAGTGACTTCAGCTAAAATCTTCATATGAAATCATGAGCTGAATGAGAAAATCTCTGATAACTGAAAGACTCAGTGGACTCACCATGTGCTTTTCTTCATAGATCCTCAGAAAACAGGTAATAGGAAGTTGAGTGATGTCATCAGTGTGACTTATTTCAAAATAAGAGTTTTTGTTATGCGGTAACACCAGTGACACGACTCCTGGGGACAACAACTTTTATTATATATTTTATAGTATTTATTTGTTTTCTTTGTCATTTAAATAATATTTTTCATAGTCATGTATAGATTATTGTAGTTAAAACTGACTGCAGAAAAATTAGTTTTTTTTTAACCCTCAAAATATGGCCTCAGCCTTTACACATGACTGTGAGGACGAGCTCTTCTGTGGTGCTTGGAATTCTGATTTAAAAACCAATATTGCTGAATTGAGGCTCAAGAAGGTGTAACAGTTAAAATAACATTGTTTTATTTAAACATGTAAATAAATTGTAACCCTAACATGTAAGTGTAATATATCTGAAAACGCTAGGAATACAAAAATTGACGTTTCTGTAGAATGACCCTAATAATAATGATAATGATAATAATAATGATGATAATGTGGTGTCAGTGTAGAGTAAGACAGGGGAGGCCGTGATTTTCACCATCACTCTTTATTAAACACCGGAGCCCCGTTTAGCTCTCTTTAGCTTAGCCTCCCAGTGAGGAGCCCTCGGCACGTTAGCCTCAGTGAGCTAATCGGCTAACCATGCAAACTTTACCGAGTGTTTAAGCAGTTTGAGCGCGATGTACGTAATGTGTGAGTAACTGCTTTGTCTGCCTGTGAACGTAGAGCAGAGCCACAGTGTAGCGCCTTTCGTTTTGGTCTTTCCTGTTCGCCGTGTAGCCTTTAGCATGCTAGCGACACAGCTAGCAGAGGATAGCGGAGAAGTCCTGTCAGCAGTCGTGGAGCAGTTCACAACCTGAAGCCCATTGAATTTTTGAATGTGATGGTTTTGAAATGTTACTCGTTTTACAGTAGTTTATTGCTGAAGCTTATAAACCGCTTTGTCCATCATTATTTTGGGGTTTGAGAAGGGAAATGCGGCAGGTCACAGTGATTTCTGGGTAAGCTCTGCTGCTGAAGATGACACTGGTGTTTGCTCGGTCCCTCGGTCCCTCGGCCCCTCAGTCCCCTGACGACTCATCTAACACCCTTCACTTCAGCTAATAAAGTAACGGAACAGCCCTTAAGGTGGTGCTGTGGATTCCCCCCAGGGGGAAATGAGTCCGAGTGGATGAGAGCTTATTAAAACCGCTGGTGAAACAGGGGGGCAGGGCAGAAAGGCACGTACACCACCAGCCACAGGCTTCACCCTGACAGGAGACCACCCTCCACACAGAGCACACTAACAACCCACAACCCCCAGAATAGCACAGTAAACACATACACACCTGTAACTGAGGAACAACATACACAGCATTTGAGTCCCTTTATCAGAGGGCGTGGGCATCCCATGATCCTCAGCATGGCCACGCCTCACAAGTGTCTCGAGGCTGGCGCCAGTCACTAGCAGGTTGATATTATTAGCAGCAGTGGTCCGCAGAGGACCCTCTCTCTGCAGCTAGCGCCAAACAATCCGGCCTATCAGGATAATAATAATAATAGTAATTTATTATTATTATTATTATTATTATTATTATTATCATTATTTTTAGCTGCTCTTCATTTTTCAGTAGCCTGTCTAGAGGAACCGATTGCCTACAGCGCCCTCATGTGTACAATACACACATGTTCAACTTGAATCCTATCAAAATGTCCACTGTTGTTTATTGGAAATGAAATGACAGTAAATGCAGCTATCGAGGTCAGTAAAGAGAGGATTTAAAGACACAGGCTGGAGTTAAAGGAGTGAAGCGAGTCTGATTCTCTACACAGCCTGCAGTGTTTCTGCTCCTCTGAACAGATTCAGCACCAACACTCACAGACGTCACTGTGTTTCTGCTCCGAACTACAGAATCACAGCTGAAGCTGAGCTTTCACAGATTAGTGAACGTTACTGACCCGTCGAGTGTGAATGACCCACTACAGGCTGCAGCAGCTAAAGCTTCCTCAGGGGGCGCTATACGACTCCAGGTGGAATAATCTATGACTTGAGCCACTGTCTGTTCAGAATGAATGAAAGGAAACCGAGCCTGATGCATTTGGGGAGTTTTTCTTTTTTCCCGTCGTATCGAACTCGATGTCCAAACCGCGGCGTGAACCGAACCGTGACTTCTGTTAAAACCTCTGATAGCAATCATTTATCTGTCGGTTAATGGTTCCCATTTCCGGAGCTGTGTAATAGCAGGTTGGCTGAGATTCGGGTTGCGGAGGGAGTGGCTGCGTTGCGTGTAAGAGGAATGACGAGTGAGATTGTGCTGCTGTCTGAAGGCTGTAATTTGTCATGCGAGAACGGGGAGGGAGGCAGTGCAGCTGTTCCCCTCGCAGGGCTGATGAAGCAGTGGCAGACCAAGGCTGGGGTCTGGAACCCTGTTCAAAGCACCACTTCTCCTCATTACAGCACCTCAGTGTGTCTGGAAGTGATGTGCCAAATGACAGGCAGGTCATTTCAGGGTTTGTGCGCCTCTGGATTTCTCTCGGCGTTTCTCGGTGTATTATATTACCCATTCTTCTGCAGACTTCCTCTCCCTCTCAGCGTTCGCATAGTCCAGTTTCCTGTGAAGTGCTGAGAAACGAGTTTAACAGCCACGATTTGTGCCGCCTGCATTTAGCAATTTAAAAATGTGCCGAGCTTCAAAATCATGTTGGTATGCTTTATTTTTTGCTGAGAAAAGGGTTCCTGTGCACTTTGAGGTGGTGCCTGACCTTGTCTGTGACAAAATCACTTGCTTTTGTGCAACGTTGGTGTTTCACAATTGACTGTTGATTATGCAATATGGTTGCTCATAAATAGTTGATCTACAAGAAAAGGGCTGTGCAAAAATCAGAGACCCCCCCTTCATGTATTTAATTGCCAGTCAAAACCGCCATTAAATACAAGTTATTCAGTTTTCAGTATCGGCTCACTCTACTCTCAGCTGTGTGAGTCAGTGAGTCACTCTTCCCCTTTATTCCAGCTTCCATTCTTTACAGGAGACTCACTTTCAGCTCCTCAAAGAATCTGCAGACACACCTCCAAAGTTCAGTCTTAGAAGCTGGTTGATCATTTTCTGAAGTAATCAAACACATTCAGTGGTGTTGAGGTCTGGACTCTGGGGTGGTCAGTCCATCGTTCAGCTTCTTTGTTTGATGTGTCCGTCTCCTTTTCTCAGTGAGGTTCTTCTTGATCAGCTACACATCCTTTCAGACCCACAGCGCTGAGTCGTCTTCTCACAGTGGAAGGATGGACAGAAACACCTGTGGATGTTTTTAGATCTGATCAGCTTGATTTTCTCCTCTCTCTCAGAGATGAAAGCTTTAAGTGCTGTTTATCTGATGGGGGCAGTTTTGGGGTCGACCAGCTCTTCCAGGTGGCTGTTAGGAGCCACATTTTCTCTGTAGCTTTAGTCAGTTTTTGACCTCCAGTTTCTGTAAACTCCTTTGTCTTTCTCCTTCATCATGCAAGCGGATTATCTTGCATTAAATCTTCTCACTAATATCACCAGAAAATGAGTAGCTTGTACGTGGTAGCGCTTTTGAGTAGATATTAAATAAATGAAGGTTGGTTTTCTGATTTCTGCACTGCACTGTTCTTCATGCGGTTCCCA